ATTAAATATATGGTTAGTATGTATAAAAAAAACTTCGAGTGTCATTCTATGGAAGCAAAGGAAGTTATTTTCTTTTTATTTGCACTTTCCATTGTATGTATTTTTCTAGTATTATCCCATTTTGCATCTAAACCACTGTATGTTTAGTGGTTTATCTTTTCACTTAACATGTCTGTAGTATTGGCTGTTTGTTTTTTATTAGTCTTTTTTTTTAATATATATATATGTACTTCTGCTCGTTTATTTTGGAGCTGAAAGTTTTTAGCAGCTTTTGTCTCAGACACCACGGTGCTGCTCGTGTTCTTCTTTCCAGTTGTCATCACTCTCATATGAGTGATCGTGCAGTGTCAAGATATTTTGTGTCATCTTCTATGTGGGACTCTGCATGCTGTCACATGGGCCTGAGCAGGAATATGCGACATTGCCTGTACACAAACACAATCTGTTAGCGAGGTAGAGCAAAGTTTGCATAGAGCAATGTGACACTAAAGCTAAATGAAGCTTTACGTGGGCTTTTGTCTCTAGTGTGCACCAGTATTGCAGACCGTTCCACTGTTATATGGATACCTATATCTGATGTAAAAACATTCACAAACTTCATCTCAGGTGAATCAGGTAATAGGCTTTCTGAAGATTTGGTGTGACTGCCTTTTTAAAATGTTATTTTTGGTGCATATGCATAAAAAAATGCTCTGTCCTTCTCTGATCAGCAGGGTGTTGTATCCTGCTTCCTTTTAGGTGGTTTGCTGATGTTTGAACCACAGAATAATTTGGTTAGAGCAGAGTCAGTGCTGCCATCATGTGGTCAAAAGCCCCCCAAATTTTGCTGGAAGACTTAAGATTAGCTCTCTGTCTCGGCTAGACTTTCTCTCATCTTTTTTTCTTTAGACAGGGACAAGTAAACAGGGGAGCACTCCTTTATGTCTAATCATGTTTATTTTTTGGCTTGTACCACACATTAACAACTGGGAAATTGCTGCTTTGCTGCATGCTTCTGTAGAGGTGTTTTAATATCTCTGTACTTTAGGATTTCTTGATTTTCTCTGGGCGGTTACCACATTGCAGCTGGTTGTCCGCTCTTCTCTTTTTATTCCAGGTTTTGTTTTGTTTTTTTGGGTTTTTTTTTTTAACTCTTCTCTCCACATGGAGAGAGGAGGGGCGCTTGGCCTGGAGTTTCCATGGTAACGCTGCCTGGTACATGGTGTAGCTGATGTCTCTCACTGTGTTTAAGTATGCTGTGATTGTTTCTGTGTACTGATATGTAACTAGCATGTAGTAAATTAATAAACAGTAAACCCAACTGTTGATTAAACCAAATTGGGGATATAGTGAACCCCCACCCCCGCCTTTGCTGCTCAATTCGTTTGAAGCTGGTCTGCACAGGTCGTCATGGCAACAGCATGTGTGCAGTCTGTTCTGTGGAGGAGATTCACGCTCTCCATCTCTCCCTCTCAGTCTCCCTCCTCTCTCTTCTCTCTGGTGTCTTTGCTCTGCCCTTCACCCAGTGACATTTACCCCCGTGGGGTCTGACTAGACAAAAGCAGGAGCTGATAATCAATGCTAAGACCCGTGATGCATGTCGTAGTACTGCTATAATGTAATGCAGCCGTGGGTTTTATTACCAATTAAAATTCACTTAATGGTGCATCTGATTTTGAATTTATTCACTTATGATGCATGCTTTTATAATTCAGTGCAATTATAAACATCACTATATTCTTGCATTTCTTCTGCAGTCAGTGAGAACTAGCATACATTTCAAGCAATAAATTGCACAGAAATGCCAAAGGTAGCAAAAATGATAGAAATTTTAAATCATAAATACAAATTTAGATTTAATTCATTATTCTTGTTATTTGTCAAAAGGTTCAGTAAACATTGCAGTTTAAATGATAATAATAATATATTTTTATTTTTTGCTTAAAACAGCTTTGGTCTCTGTAGCTAATTTCCCCTCTGACAGCTGAAAAGCTGTTGTATAAAGCCTTCTAATGCATCATTACAGTGATAGGTGGTGTTTATTTTTCTTGTTGCTCGAAAAGATGCTACAAGGATGTTTATGTGCTCCATGCAGAAAATGTACTTTTTCACTTTGCATTTTTACTTTGCTCATTTTGGCAAAAGGAAAAAGTAATTTATTCAGTATCACAATGATTATGGCTAGGTAGCCAGAACGATTGTTGCTAATAAGGCCCCAGTTCTACACTTCAAAAATGGTAAGGTGGTTTTGAAGGTGTCAAAATGTTAATTCTTTTTTTTATACATACATAGAACACTAGAAAACGTCATGCATATGCACACAAAACGAGTCAGGTGCAGAGCCAAAAAAAAAGCCAATTGCAAATGTCAAAACAATAAATGAATAAAAATAAATCTACAGCTTGCACTCTGTGGGGCTCCAGGTTTATCTGTTTATCTATTTAGAGCATGCTACAATAAATCAGTAAAACTGCACCACTGTGTGCAAGCTGTGTTTGTTTTTTTTTAATCAAAGGAGCTTGCAAAGAAAAGCGTCTGGACTTCTTTAAGTTACTTGAAGACGTTTCACCTCTCATCCGAGAAGCTTCTTCAGTTCTAAGGTCAAATGGTGGAGAGTCCCAGATATAAACCTAGTGGGAGTAACCCC